GCTACTTGTTATCTAAATGTCACTGAGATATCTAGCTAGAGCGCAAACCATCTCTTTGTTGAGACAAATAAGCATTGATCACATGCAATGATAGGATAAGAGATGTGCCATCTCACCTTAACACTACATGTAGCAATTAATATTTTTCACAAGGAGTACAGTATCTAACAGGGAAGCCATCGAGCAAGTGTCACCTAGCTGAACTATATAATTAGTCACTGGTACAGACTGGCCCGTACAGTCCAATTGCATTTTGCCATTGAAAAATCATATCGATACATTGCCATTTTAAGAAAGAAAAATTACCCCCATTATAGTGTTAACTGTGTCAAATGGGTCATTTGTCGTGGATGGATAAGAGATGTGCTATCTCACCTTAACACTACATGTGGCAATTATTCTACTTTAAAATGAGAATCTGTTGCAATAAGAACTTAATTAGGTTTAGTGTATCTTCTGACATGGTTGAGAAATTTGACATTATATCATAATCAATATTTTCACTCTTAAATATTAATACTCAGGACTCTCCCATTGATAGCCCAATGATAGGTAAAATTATCTCTGTCATTATACCGTAAACCCTCCAACTATAAGCCCCCCGACTATAAGCTCCCCCCCCCCGAATATAAGCCCCCCGGAAGATAAGCCCACCACATATACTAACGCTCAATTCATTCCAAATATAAGCCCTCCCGAACATAAGCCCACCCAAATATAAGCCCCCCAAATATAAGTCCCCCGAATATAAGCCCAGTAGCCCACTACGTTATTCAACATTTTCATTGTCTTTTAATATAGCAGAGAACGGTATTTAAAAACATTGTCAGTGTCTTTATAGCCGACTACATGTTACGTTAATCAAAGCACGTTATTAATGGATGTTTATTTTCCTGTTTATGACTGACTTGTTTATGTCTGATTTGTTTATTACTAACACAAAAGATCATCCATGTATTAGCCCCCCGTATATAACCCCCCTCCCCTTGTATAAGCCCATCAAAAATCGCTTACGAAAGTCATAAGCCCAGGGCTTATAGTCGGAGTATAAGATCCCCTTGGCAAATTAGATAAACATTGTCTGGCGTTAGCCAGAATAAAACAATAAAATAAGGTATATTTGGGAACATTGCAGCTTAATGGTTAAAAATCAAATATAAAATTCGAGTTGGCAAAAATATTCATGAAACACCAGCTCAGGTCCAGCTGTGTAGTGTATACTGTATCTCATCTCACAGACAGTATTAATAAAATAAATTCCATCGTTCAGTAATCAATATAAAACATTACCGTTTCGGTTTGCCATTGAAATTTAATGAATAAAATATTGTTGGTCTGTGTTGTTGTGCGTAATTTGAATAGAATGCACAAAATCTTGCATTCCTATATGAATATGATATAGTTGAGGTTGGGTATTTAACAGCCATTTCCCGATTTTCCACCTCAGGTTCTAAAATACTTGTCTTTATAATTGAAATGAAAACACTAAACGCAAGATAAATCAGACAAAACTACAGTACTTGTAAATCAAAACGCGCGCAAGTTTTCTTAACTGAGACTGCAATGGCAATGAGAATAGCCTCAGCATAATGGCGGTCGTAATGTATAAATACGACAATCGCAGACAACAATAATTATAATTCTCGCATTATTATAATAACTCACCTTATTCCTTTCGACGTTTATCACATCTTTGAAGTTACAGGCGAACTAATTCTAAAGCATTGACGCTGTGAACCACACGTTTTGAATTGCATTGGCGGCCAGACCTTTGTCATTCAAATACAAACAGCAACCTTGCTCGCTTCTTCCTCACACTGTTTTAAAGCCATCTTTATGCTTGAAATATGAATATACTAAAGCCATTTTAATCAGTTTGTATCGCTTCCATCGCACTGACACTTAGAAGCAATCATTATAGAACCCTCGCACCACAATAGCAGATATATTCCCATACAAACGACCACAAACTATAATGCCAGACTGCCAGTATCGATGCGACAAGAAGGTATTAGATTTCACGGCGGCGCTATCCTCATTGGTTGAAAGCTCGATCATGCGGCGCGCGAATATTCAAATATTTCGGCTTCATTGTGTGTTATCTTCATATTGTGTTATTGCTGCTGCAAATTATAGCGTGTTATAAGACTTATAATATTTGAAATGCGATATTTTGAGGTCCAATTTTGCCAGTTTCCAATCTGTATGATGAAATGCATAAACATACATGACACATGTGACATGGGAACTATTTCTGTTAATTTATTATTATGTCTAGTAATTAACTTCTGAATTCAAATGTTTCATTTGTGAAATGGTTTATAATTTACCAGTAAATTAATATGCGGCTGTTTCATGCTACCAGTAGATAATATTCGGATAAATATTTGCCAATTAATTTGGCGATATACCTGTAATCGGCCAGCCCTAGCCTGTGACGGTAGACCAGGCTCAAAACGTGTGTTTATAGACCGTGTTATACTGTAAAAGTGTTTAGTTTAAGAATATATGTTATTCTAACTGCACAAACAGTTTTAACACCACCAAAAAGGTGCTATTTTAACACCCGTGCTCTGTGCTAATTTAACACCACCAAAAGGTGCTATTTTAACACTCGTGCTGCGTGCTAATTTAACACCACCAAAAAGGTGTTATTTTAACACCCATGTTCTCACTCCACAAACAGTGCTAATTTAACACTGGGGAATACAAATTCTTAACACCACTTATGGTGTTATTTTAACACCAAGAATTTAGCACCAGAAACCGGTGTTATTTTAACACCACCTGTCCTTAAGTGGGTGTTATTTTAACACCTCTAAAGTGGTGTTAAACAATTTGAGTGTTAAATTAACACTTTGCAAAATATTTTTATTTATGTCGTGTTAAATTAGCACCGAAAAAGGGTGCTAAAATAACACTTTTGTTTAACACCACCAGTTGGTGTTAATCTAACACCACCCGAGGTGTTATTTTAACAGCCTGAAATTAACAGTGTGTAGCTTCGCCGCTTTGGATGATGCATTACAGCAGTCCCATATTACATCGCAATAGTTGAACAGTGGTAACATGATTGAATTACAAATTAGCTTCGACGTTGAAGAGTCAAGATAATTCCTTATTCTGTTCAACAAACCAATTCTTGACGAAACCTTTTTGGATAAGGTGTTCACATGCTCAGTCCAGGAAGTTGTTTAAATTGTGCTACGCAACTAAGGTGTGGTCCCAAGCTAATGTGAAGCTACAAGTTGCATTAGAAAGAGTTCAAAGGCGCGATACGCGTTGGATTCTAAAAAGTAAAGTTGGAGAAATGTCTTATGAAGATAGACTGAAAACTCTCAATTTATTGCCACTAACTTACGATCGAGAAATCAGAGATCTTGTTCTGGTCTATAAATGTATTTTCGGCCACACTGATTTGAACATTGAACATTTTGTGTCATTTATACATCATAATCGAACTCGTACTCAGAATCCATCTCTAATGTTCAAATCTCCTTACTGTAGAACATCCACTTTCCAAGAATCGTTCTTTAACCGAATAGTTAAAACTTGGAATAATGTTGGAAAAATAGCCTCTCCTGAAAAGTTCGCCAGTTTAACAATTTTTAAAAGCTTTCTGCATGTGACATACACCGCATTGGTCAACAGTACTTTTAATGTATAATATGAATATATATATATATATATATATATATATATATATATATATATATATATATATATATATATATATATATATATATATATATATATATATATATATATATATATATATATATATATATATATATTAATAATAACAACAACAAAAACAACAACAGCAACAATTTTATTAATTACTATAAATATTTACCATAACAATCTGTCCGCAAATAGCAAAAGCTAATCGAGGCGGACAATTACAAAACAATTAAATTAAAGAGAAATATTTGAGATGTAGTATTACAAAAGGTGAAAGAATAATAAGAGAAACTATAAGAGAAACAATATTACGTGATTTAAAATTACACAATTGCAATTTAGCATAAACAAAAAGAATAAAAAGAACAATGTACGAACATAAATATGCAGTTACCTATAATTTGATTTATGTTTGAAATTTTTCATTATTGTAGCGAGATCTACATAATCCTCCTCTTCAATGAGTATAGATAACAATATCTCATGCAGTTTTCTCTTGAATTTGTTTTTAGAAGAATTACACAAATCATCAGATATACTATTCCATATCCTGACTCCTGTTCTTGAAAATGACCTATGTAACTTATCCAAACGCGAATCTTTAACATAGAAGTTGCTGCCAGAGGAAAACCTAGTGTTACATTTGTAAACTTCACGCGCCGAGATAAATAAATTTGAAATATTTAAAGGCGTCATATTGTTATATACATCGTGCATTAGCGCATAGAAACAGACTTGAAATAAAGCATATCGATAGGTCATATTTTATCAGAAATAAAAAAAGAGATCGCATTAATCGAAGAGCACGCTTTTGAAGCTTAAAAATCGTATTAAAGTGAACCCTAGCAGCTTGGCCCCATAGAATAATGCCATACGAGGTATATGGTAATATAAGAGATCTATATATATCCGATGTAGTACTCCTTGGAACAAAATGTCTTAATTTGGCAATAATGCCAATTGATTTGCTTATTTCCGAAGCAGCGTGGTATCAATAAGCACACCCAGATATTTAACATAACTTTTATGCTCCAGAGAGCTAAAAGTATTTGAATGATTGTCGAATATTTTCAGGTCTACCTGATAAACTAACCTTTTCTGGTGAGAGTGGAAAATGACAAAATGACAAAAAACGTTAAGAGATAATTTGTTTGCAGTTAACCAATTATATAATTTGATTAGTTCGTGATTAACAGTAGTTTCCAAGGACCTTAGATCATTGTCAGAATATAATAGATTGGTATCATCGGCAAACAAAGAGAATTTTAATTTATCAGTAGAGTTGTATATATTGTTAATATAAATAAGAAATAACAGTGGTCCTAAAACCGATTCTTGAGGTATGCCAGAGAGCACTGTCTCTTTATCTGATACTACAGTACCACACAGCAAAAAATCATTTTCTTATTAAGAAAAAAATTTCTTAATTTAAGAAAAAAAAATCTTAAAATAAGAAAATGATTTTCTTAGTAAGAAAAAATTTTCTTGAAATAAGAAATTTTTGAATCCCAAGATATCTTTTTCTTAAAATAAGAAAAAAATTTCTTAATAAGAAAACATTTTCTTAAAATAAGAAAATACGATTTTCTTACTTTCTTAATAAGAAAACATTTTCTTAAAATAAGAAAATACGATTTTCTTACTTTAATTAAGAATATGTTCGTAAGACAAGAAATGAAATTCTTAACATACAAAATTATAAAATAGTAAGACATTATTACTTAAATTTTCGAAGCAAGAAAATGTACGTAAAATGCTAGTGTTATAGGACAACTTATATCTTAACAAGACTTAGAACAACGTATATCTTATTGCGTCAGGTAAATTTGTAGTTTTTATTTCGAATTGAAGAGACTATATGACCGGCAGCTCACGGTTGATCAAACACTAAAAGGCCGGCAGTACATTGACTATATAGTTAAAGTTGAGTCTTCAGTAATCAGTATAAGATAGATAAACCGATCCCCAATCCCTAGCCTGCTCGCAGCCTGAAATTTAGAAGGGGGAAATTTCAGTCTGCTGAAATTCGGGCTTAATCGTGTACAGTGACGTAGTCACTTACGTATAATTATGTAAAATTAATAAGGCGCACCGCATAATTATTAAACATGCAAATGGCGGTCATCTGCTAATGGCTTCGAGTAATGCTTTGAGTTGTACTTGTATTCTGTGTTTTCGCATCATTGAAAAGGCGCACGAAAGGTATTTAGTATCAGGCAAAACGAAATTTGATCTGAAAGAGGCTCTTCGACAGTTGCCGTTTGTTATTTTGGAATCTTCGCCCTACATTTGTCGACAGTGTTGTGATAAACTTCGCAAAAGAAACAACCTTATTTCTCAAGAAAAAATCATTGTAAACGAACTTAAAGAGACTTACGAAAGAGGAAGACTTAAAAGGCGACAATTATTTGCAGAAGAAGGGCCCAGTACCAAACGGCCGTGTATTTTAAGTGCAAATTCCCCGACTACATCACAGACAAAAGCTACAGTTGAACGTGGTAGAGTTGATTCTCCCCCACCTGTATTACCAGAAGTACCAACTCCGATTTCACATTCAACGCCTGTGAAAAGTATAGCTAAGGAAGCCAGTGAAACATCAGTAAACGTGACAGTAACATGGCCAAGTCAGACTAGGCAAAGAGAACTTCACTCTGATTTACAGTCATTGGGAAAAATGCTTGTCCGAGGGACATACAAGCAGATCGCAAATGCGGCGTGGGGAAACCTACATATAAGAAAGCATCTTGTTTTTAATATTCTTAAAAACATTGACAAAGAATGTGTTGACTTGTGTTCTAAGAAAAATCCAAGTTGTCTGCGGTCACCCTCAAAAGAGAAAATGCTCAATTTTTCCTTAGAGAATCAAAGAAAGGAAATGGAAGAAAGGGCACCATTGCTTTTTTCTATATTGGTGGCTGCAGGTTCAACTAGGACCAAAAGAGAGGAAAAGACATGGACTCCTGCTGTTTGCATGGCTTCATCCATACTTTTAAGAAATCGGTCACAATGCATGAATGCTATACAGTTGATGTTAGGTATATTTTTGTACCATTCCAACTGGGCGGTAAGTGTAAATATATATAGCCATTTACCTTGTGACTTTATAACCACTTCCCAACATTTCAAGTATTTGGCACTTCGGGTTAATACAAGCAGTGTGGCGTAACAGAACCTCCTGAGCCCCTCCCCCCGGGTGGGGGTGGGGGGGGGGATATGTGTTTCCAAATTTCAACAATTCCTGCTTTTGGGGGCCACCTGTTGCAAATTTTCTGACCCTCTAAAACTGAGTCTGAGGCTCGGGACAAATTGCCCAATTGATGTGGTCATTTTTGCCGGGTGCCCCCCAGGTATGCCCCCCCTGCCTCTGAACACCCAAACACCCTACAGTTATGACACTGAATAGAAGACTCTGTCATATCCTCTTGTAGCCTGCTCACAGCCTGAAATTTAGAAGGGGAAAATTTCCCCCTTCTGAATTTCAGGCTGTGAGCAGGCTATATATCTTGCTACCCCACTAAACTGTAATATGTGTCGCCTACATTTTGTTTTACTCAGCAGCATTATATACTTGTTTTCCAAATAATTTTAAGGGGTTATTTTACAATGTCATGTAAGGAGAAGTTCTTCTGGATTAATTGGCTAATCAAACTATCTGTTTGAAGTGCCTATATCACTTGTGGGACCTTTATGGATTTGAAAAGAGTTCAAAAGATTTTTTTATTTAGTGCAATAATTTCGAAGATACAGGCCTCCATAATACCTACAGTTCCTGAATCCCAGGCTCGTATGCACAATGGACAGTTTGGAAAAAGGCCAAATTCAATAGCTGTGTTTAGACCCCAGGAGGCTGGGACTCAGGAACAGTCCGCTTATATCCTCAAAACTATGGCACTAAATAAAAAATCTTTTGAACTTATTAACTAACTTTTTATGCTCTTTTCAAACCAATAAAGGTTCTGTGGGACCTTTATGGATTTGATTTTATACTTTCACATTTACTTCATACAGTAAGTTAATTAGTGCTTTATTATTTAAATTTTTAGCCTGTAATGTCACGGTTTTCTAGTTACTTCACCCAACCATCTTTATAAGAAACTGGAAGAATATGGTGTTGACCATGATGAAATTATAAAATCGATGGTGAAAAATGATGCTAAATGGTTGGTGAGTAGAAAAGAAAAAGATGATTCAAATGACACAAGTGCATCAGTTACTGATGCTAAACCATCAGCTGGATTTAAACTCACTATTGATAATGTGGATTACACGCAGAATGTCCATTACATGACAGAGGAACACCAAAACAATGACAAACACTATGTTTCTATAAATGCCACTGTTAATAGAGTTTCAGCAAATCACTTGAGTGATGAGAGTACAGCAAATGGCATCAATCAAATGGAGAATGGGAAGTGTATCCCTAATCATTTTGAGCAGAAGGCACAGAGAAATAATTATATTGCCCTTGTCCAACGTGTAATTGTAGAACATGTTCCATGCCTTGGATTTGGAAAGGATCTTTTGGAAAACCACATCCCACACATGTACACCAAAGAGACATCACAACCAACAGATTCAGTAAGTATATTCAAGAAATATTTAGGTTTTTTAACTTGGGGTGAGGTGATACCAGTTTTTTTCGCTTTCAGAACGATATCATACATGTCCCTTGTTCAATGCCTTTTATGATATCGGCCCTCAAGTGATAAAACTGATATCACCTCGCCCCTCATGTGATAATCTACACTTATAGGCATTTCTTGGGGTAATATATGAGAGTGAAAATGATGCGAATGGGATAAACAAGATTTTACATGACCTTCACAAGTATGTTCCATTTGTTGGTGAAGGACAAGAACGCGAATATTCCAGCCAACCTATAGTTGGGGATCAGCTGACAGTGGAACGAGCTGTTAATTGCCATATGAGCTTGTGCAATGGGTTCACACCGGAGGAGCGCCTAGAAGGCCTACACTTTGAAATCGCTGACTGGCATGCCGGAAACAAAGCCTTAAGTGTAAGTAATTGATATGTAAATTGCTGTATTTTACTTTAATGTCATGGAGATGGTAGTCATATCAATATCAGTTTGTGGGTTTCTGGGACCTTTTGGGTGCATGGATTCATGACCTTCTCTGTACACATAATTTTTTTAGTAAATATATCGGTCAGGACTAGGGTTGGGCGATATTTCGATATTTTGCTTTATCGCGATATTTTCAATCGCGATTATCGTATCGAAGGTAGAAACTTGAGAGACAATATATCGAAATTATCGTCATGCTCGATGACTATCGTGATATTTTATATAATCCTAAAAACATTCTTTCAATTCCCAGAAAATATAGTTTTTAAAAGAATTAAAACTATTTCCTGAATTAAATATGAATTTAATACGATACAAAAGCTAATATTTATGTATTAATCCACTGTACAATGAAATTGCAGGCTTTGCTTGCGCTTGCGCTGTGTGCCCACGGCATTTGTGCCAGCAGAGACACAGTAGACACTGCGTAGACAGTTCAGGTTTATGAACAGTAAATATTAGACTAGAAAAAACGTTCATATTACTTTAATTTGATATTTGTGGTGTTACTCTGAGTGTATATCCACACCGGGCGAGCTTGAAAAGTATGCCCGGCCACGGTGGGATTTTCAAGCTCGCCCGGTGTGGATATACACTCAGAGTAACACCACAAATATCATATTCACCTGAGTACACTACACCAACACAGAAAAAAATTCTTACTTTAATTTGTTGTTTTACTTGTTTTTAATAAGAAAAATGTGGTCATTGTTTTTATTGCATTTATCGCGATATTATCGAATATCGTGATAATTTCCTTGACAATAATCGTGAGATGATATTTTTAATATCGCCCCAACCCTAGTCAGGACTAGAGCTGTCAGCACTAGAGCTCCTTACTGTTTTTTTATGTAATATTTTGCTTCAGTTTAAATTTTTTGAAGAAATCTTACTTGAAAGAAAAACATTCCTTTAATTAAAAAATCACACTATTTATATTTTTTACAAACACCATTTCGTAACAATTTTTCAGTTTCTAGATTTAAAAGAAAAACAGTAGACAGCCACCTTAAGTGTTATGGTTTCTGCAATCTCTTGGTATGGAAAGGGAAAACAACCAACCAACCAGTTATTTCAAAGTGAAATAGGAAACCAAAAAAATATTTGGCATATAGTAGTGTTAGAGTTGGCCAAACATTCTCATGTTGTATCCCATTATGTGTATCAGTAATATTATACTTCTCATACAATTGTAGGTTGCGTTTTCACATTTGTACAGTGCTGCTTCAGTAGGAGATAAGTGTACTTTATACAGTGATCGTAACCTAATAAACCGTCGCAATGTTAAAAATGATGTTGATTCTGCTGTAAATGCAGCCCGGCGTTTCTTCGTGATTGAAGTTGAATCGAGAATAGTTGCAGCGGCAATGACTGAACTTGGCATAGATGAATTTGATTCAACACCAGAGAATGGTCCATCAACAGAAAATTGGACTACTAAAGAAAAGAAAGATTATCTGTGCAAGTTATCATCCAAAATCGTTGATAAATACATTGTGGATGAGGAAAAACACAAGAAGATTATTGCAACTGTGGAACACCTTGAGGAGAAGCAGTTGCAACGATTGAAGGATAAGACAGCAAACGGCAGATACAAGTGTAGATTTCCAGGTTGCGAAAAGACTTTCAGCAATGATGGAAAATGGCGAATGGTGCATGAACGAGCTCATGATCCTCCTGTCTGCATCGAGGAGCAGCCAATGCTAGCTGAGATCTATAGCAGTGACATTGTAGCTGATGACATGTACAACTACCAGAGGGCATTGCTGGAATATGGGATGGTTATTATTAACTTCCTGGATGCAATTTCCGAAGGTGACGGTGCAAGAGTAATCAGAAATTGGAAGTTCCTACTTCTTTACTTCCAGCATGATAAAGAGAGCCAGAAATATTCCCTTGAAGCTCTTTACCTAATGTTTCAGGTGTATGCCCTGCTAAGTCCCAAGGCAGCCCACCATATTGTATGGAATAGATTTGCGAAGCGGAAGCATTCCCTTGGTGGAAATATTCCTCTTGATCTTGCCCTGGAATTCCTCAACAGAATTTTTAAGGATGCAGTAAAGAAGCTAGGCCCTAATGCCAACCCAAGATCAATAAGCAGGATTTGTAATGCCATGAATTTTACAAAGAAACTGACAGAAAATTTTGATGGTTCCATGGCACTTTACAAGAGATCGGGAAAGCATGCGCGCAAATCTTGTAGTGCTGATTTGAAGAAACTTGTCAACGAACTTTTGCTCCAGAATGCTCTTACAAAAACACCTGGAAGGTCCTATAGTTTTTATTCAGGAATCAAACCATCCCTCTTATCCGACTTTGACTTACAAAAATTTTATGGCTGGATCAATGACCACAAGAAGTATATGATTCTACACAGAAAAGCCAGATAGGTTTTTTCTGTAACTACTTTGAAGATAGGTACGCGCATACTTTAGGTAATTCTTTCTGACGATTGACGAACCTTCGTCCAAACTTTAAATGCTGCCTCGTCAGTTTTGTGCACTTTCCAATAGCAGAGTACTTAGCTTGTAAAATATTGTGTTATATAGGTGGGTTCACTGAGCATTGTTATGCAGAAATTGGTGGTCAAACTGCAGTATCATTTAGGTTTATCTTCCCCCCTAGCTCCCCTCCTAATAAATAGCACTCATATCTCTCCCCCCCCCCCAAATAATACTTTTCATTATACAAAGTAGTCTTGCATTTTGAGGGCTGAGGGCAAATAAATAGATTTGAGAGATGTAGTTTAATTTTATTGCTCCAATCATAAGTGACAACATTTATGAAGTTGACCACCATCAATAACGCATGGTGAAACCCACCAATTTTGTAATACATTTTGTAAATATCAGTTATTTTATTCAACCAATTAGGTACTGCCTAATAATAATCACTAGACTGAACTGATTTGAAAAAAAATTATGTTTCAAAAATGGACTATTCTTTACTCAACTTATCACCTACAATCCTTCAAGGCCTCTAATGGTTGAGTCTTGATTGGGATTGCCCTTACAAAATGCGAAGTTGGGATAAATTGGGTAAAAAAATAACTCCAAGTATACATGGGTTCCTCTCTTTACAGTGCCAATAGAAGCGAAAAATGTTGGCCAATTCATTTCCTAATTTGAAGAAACACCTCTGAACAATTCCTCAACAATTTGATAAGTTCCTTAAAAATTTCCTAACTTCCTGTTTCATTGACCAATCAGATTGCTCAAAAATCAAATATAAAATTTGATTGGTCAATGAAACACAAAGGAACTTTTAGTCTTTTTTAAGGAACTTATCAAATTGTTGAGGAATTGTTCAGAGGTTTTCCTTCAAGTTGGGAAATGAATTGGTTAACATTTTTCGGAACGCTTCTATTGGTCTTTCAATAACACTAGGACAAAGGGAGTTTCCCTTATGTCATTTTTCCCACCAGGCAAATTTTTCCTGGAAATGAAATACACCCTGTATAACTGGTAATATTTTGCAACAAGTTCTTGACTGACATAAAGTGATGATTCACATAAAAAGTTTGCCCAGTGGGAAACAGGCTTTACAGTCTATAACTGATAATGCAAATTAAAGAGTTTGTGAGGTAACATATTTCCAAAGTATACTGATTCAAGGCTTAACAAACAATGTTAGTGTTCATTCATGACAGCAAGATTTTCAAGAAAGCTATCATTTCCATCTTCATTTGACTCAACTGTTGTCTCTGTTTCATCAAACTGAAATTCATGGCTATCTAAAAACTCATGAAAGCTTGAATCATCCCTTAGTTCTTCCCAATCCATTTCAATGTCAATATGATCCTCATTAAACATTGACATATCATGTTCAACTGTGATGTCACCAAATATTTGTGCAACTGCATCCAATACAGCAACTGCATGATGCTTTCGCCATATTTCAACATTTTGCAACACATCATCCACTGTAAAGAGTTTATGACATGTTTGTAAGATTTGTATGATCTGAAGCCAACCAAATTCCAGAAAAACATTTGGTACACCAACAGTTGATGTCATGCCAGATATCTCTTTCTCTATCAATTCCTTCTTAAATTTTATGAGAAGTTCCTTCAATTTGGCCTTGTCAGATGAATTTACTGCTCTCACTGCACATGACCCATCCAAATGTTTTAAGGACTCTGTGTTGACATCATGACTGGTGACAAGGGACATTTTACCACATTTTGCACTTCCACATTTACAATTTACTGCACAAATGTCACAACATTGATGAAGAACACCAATATTGCTATAACTATAGCCAAACTCTTCCATTATCAATTGCCGTAGGCATGTCAAGTTTTCATTTGCAAGAAACTTTTTCATTGTTGGTGAGCAGTACGTAGAAAGTAATCCATTGTACATTACAATACAATTGCTAGGCTTTCCATCACGTCCAGCTCTTCCACTTTCTTGTACATAAGACTCTAAAGTTTTAGAGGGTCCAAAGTGGATAACTTGGTGAACACACTTGCAATTCACACCCATGCCAAAAGCAATAGTAGAAATTAAGACACGGATGTGACCTTCTTCGTCTCCAAGGTCATTAACTATGTGTTGTTTAACCAAGTCTGGGGTGCCTGCATGGTACATTTCCACAAGCCTGTTCTGAGGATTTGGGCTGCCATGGTAAAAGTTTCCTTTTAAGTTTAATTCAAACATTCTATATATTAATGCACATTGTTTGCGAGTTCTGCAATATATCAAGGTGCGGTCTGCTTCAACTCCATTCTTATAAAGCTCATCAATAAGCCCTGAAAAAACCATCTCAAGAGGCATGTTGATGTCTACATACTGAACACTGTACCGTAAGTTCTGCCGGTTGGGACTTCTTTGAACAGTATAGGTATCCTTTATAGGAAGTTGTAGGCAATTGAAAATATATTCTGTTGTCAACTTTGTTGCTGTTGCTGTCAATACTAAAAACTTTACACATGATGGCACTAAAGATCTCAGCTCACCTAAGTTACCATACCAGTGTCGAAATGGTATGCTTTGTCTCCCAAGCCCATCATTTGATGAACCCCTAAAATGTTAAATATAGATGATGCTGTAAGTAAATACTATATCATATCATACCATACCATACCATACCATACCATACCATACCATACCGACAAGCATACCATATTGACTGGGGGCAAACTTAAGGGAGGGGTGGGGAAGATGTAACTCTCCAGTTTAAACAAATCATTCAAAAGTTGACAATAATTATGGAAGCTAAGGCCCTTATTATATCGAGGCAAGTTACCCGGCTAAGCGAGTTGATCAAAGGGTTTAGATCATTGGTCTTTCATTATATGTAGTTTTCAACTCATGTAGCCGGGTAACTCACCTCTATATAATCAGCCCCTGAAAACGGACTTTCACTTGTGTGCTTAAATTAGCAGCATAACACTAGTGTACTCCAAATTTTCTTAATTTGAAGTGCTTAATATTTCAATCATTTGGAAGAATGGATCTGGGAAGAATAATAAAGCAATTTAAGAAGTATTGATTGTCACTGTTGATATAAATATAAATAATAAAGACTTTAGTAATAGACTTACCACTGGTGAATACAGTGTGCTTCGTCTACAGCAACTCCAACAAGATTTTCTACGAACGCTTTATAAGCAAATATTCCTCTCCACTTGTTAGTGGAAAGGAGACACTCGGGAGAGGCATATACATGAGAATATCGCCCTTGCATCACGGCTTCTATTACATTGTCTTTCGATTCGTCCGTAATACAAACGGCAGGTATTCCTAATTCCTTTAAGAATGAAACCTGTTCTTCCATGAGTGATTTTAAAGGAGAAATTACGACCATAATACTTGTGCCTTTCGCTCGAAGTTTTACGATGTCATAAATCAACGGGACTGCTTGAAAGATCAAGGACTTTCCAAACGAAGTAGGCAAGTTCACATACACATGTTGGCCTGAAAAGTACGCCTGCAACGCCTCTATTTGTTCAGGATAAAATTCATTTAAATTAAACGTAGAACATGCAATACGTAAAGCAGTATCCCAACGATGATCAGGAATATTGTGAGAGTGTCTCAGCGCCGCCATGTTTGCAAATACAAAAAAAATTAATTCAAGAATAATTTAATGAACAAGCCAATCATAACGTTTGATATATTGCTTATGTAGACCAGCCAATCACAAACAGTTACTTAAATTTCCGTAAGTGACTACGTCACTGTACACGATTAAGCCCGAATTTCAGCAGACTGAAATTTTCCCCTTCTAAATTTCAGGCTGCGAGCAGGCTAAAATAGGCCTGATATCATATATTGTCAGTATGATGTAAAGTAGTATTATTGTAACACAACTGGGAGTTGCACATTTGAGAACATGCACTCATTGTAGGTTAAAGTCATATATTACCAAGTGAGTAGTTACACAGATTTATACAACAAATTATGCTTTTTCAATAAGTATGTCACATACACCTGTTTAGCCTGAGAGCCCTGCTTTCATGAATCAAGCAAAATGTGATTGGATAGTGCTCTATTCATGGGATGGAGGCTCCCAGGTCAAATAATCATTTGACCCAAAATTATCAAAAGCATCTATTAACCGTCGCTTGCAACTAAGGATGAACGTTCACATATATAACATTGTCTATTCTCATGACAAAGTTCAATCCTTTTACCTAGAAAGTTCAATCTTTGTGATGATCATTTGACGGTTTCAATTCGCTCAGCTAATGGTTGAATGCGATTAGCTGGTCAGATTAAAACCTGTCAACTGTTGCTCTTGACAAACATTGAATATTCTCACACCAATAGGCAATGTGTTTATGAGCGACCGTTCATCCTTAGTTGCAAGCGGCGGTATCGACAATATATAAACAAGAGATTTTTCAATAATTCAGTAGATATACTGTACCTCAGTTGGTAGAGAGTTGAGACTAGTATTTGGGTGGTCTAAACCAATCACAGTTCAGCTTTTGAAATTTGCACAGTGTGCTAAATTAACCCTAGCCTGCGTAGCAGGCGTTTAGCTGACGGGCGGGTACAGAGGGAACGCCTGCCCAAATTGGCTATGACAAATTTGTTTCGCCCATTAAGGATGATTGACGTTTTGTAATTAGCACCTTCACCCATTATCCAATCATAGTCGAGATTTATATTTAGCATCATGCATGCTTTTTGCTCGGCAACTACGGAGATTTGCAGAGATTTTATGCACTATTTAAAACACGAGCAGCAGTGTTTTATCAGATATAAAGATGGTCTGATAAAACACGCACTGCGAATGTTTTAAATTGCTTCAAAAACGATCGATCTAGTATACGTTCATTGGCGAAGTAGCTTTCAAAAAATTCGGTGTGTATATGTAGAGAAAATCATTAAAATTTATGTAAATCAAGGGAAATCTCTATCACATATCAAGGATACGACACGTTTATGATTTTTCTTTGTGTTTTCCTCATGAATTATTTGAGTTTTTGAAGCTATTTTAGACAACAGTCAGTCACAACGTGCACAGAGCTTTTATCTTTTAAAAGACTCCTGAACCACGGTTGTTTAACGTATTCTGCCGTATAGCAAATATAACAGTTGAGCATGTTTTGAAATGTTATTCTTAAAATCATCATTCAACCTCATAGCTGCAATGCCAAGTGATATAGCCTCAACTATCTGGTCTTGAATTATACTTTAAAGTGAACAAATAACAAGACAACTGTATTAAAGAAATATTCAGGATATATTTAAAATGTATAATTGAAAGATCAAACTTTTCCGTATTCCTAGGAAGAATCGCGATAACCGGCGTCTTCACCACGTAGCAAATTAATAATATACTTTCTCTGTTTTGGTTCAACTGAATTTCGAAGCCTAAATACTTGAAATATAAGAAAGTTTCCTCGAAAGCATTACTGTAACAGGCGGCATATTTTTGATACGCGACTATAAAGTATAAACGCGTCAACGCGAGCAAAATTATTGTTGACATTTGAGTTACGTAATTACTTCCGTTAACGAGATTAACCAATGGGAAGCTTTTCCGAAGATTCTTCGGAGAAGAACAAATTAATCATAGGCATTTGGGCAGGCGTTTATTTAACGACGCCCTTTCTTCCCCCGCCCGCACTAAACGCCTGCTAAGCAGGCTAAATTAACCCTTTTACTGGCAGCACAGTACCAAGTTGTATGTACCACATTTTAAAATGTATATAAAAGTAAATTACAAATAAATATAACTTTTTATTAAATTTTTATACATGTATTAAATTAACATATCAAATACTATATTTGATATGTTAATTACTAATATTTAATCTGTTCTTTGTCTGCGGTTTGCATGGCGATAAAACATATAATAGTTTTGTTTGTGGAAACACCACGTAAATTTATTGCTGCAGAAATAAATATATACGTGGTGTTTCCACAAACAAAACTATTATATATTTAATCTATTTAATCTATAGACGATTGTCAATATTTGACAACGGCACTGCTAGGGCACAGTTCCCCTCAATAAACTTTTGTCTTGTTTCGCTGATAAAATGTTCCACTTCTACAACAATAAATAATGTAAACAATCATATATTATTGGAAGGAAATTGTCTGAAACTCACATTTCCTGTATACAAAATTTTGATTTGAATTAACTCGATATTTATTATCTTATGTATGGTGGCCCAGAACTGCCAACACAAAAAAAATCAATTTAACTATTTATTTTTTATAATTTATTTGTCGCTAATCAATTTTCAATTGTTTTTTGTTTCAATTTAATTTTATTTTTAATTAAAAAACATTCCATTTTAGGAAACAAAATTTTTTAAAAATATTTTAATAAAAAATTTTATCGTTAGCGGCCCAGCGTTGCCAATAGTATACCACAATCCTCTGCGCTCCAACTCGTGCCCAGCCTTCTTCGCTACTATCCTATATTCAATATGGCGGACTTCCACGAACGTGTTTTCTAGTGGTTTATATATTTTGTTGTTTTTAACGAATTAAAAAATGAGTAGATATAAAGGATGGGATAACGACACGGCATTAGAAGACGACTTGCGTAAGTATGTGCGTGAAAACCTAAAAAGAGCGGAAATTTTAAGTTTTGTAAGGCGAGATTATTCACAATACCAATGGAGTCTCCGAAGTCTCGACAGACGTCTTCGTCATTTTGATATTCAATACATCGACCGAAATGTAAATCTGGAGCAAGTTAGGGCCGCTGTACAAGAGGAATTAGATAGACCTTGGAAACTGCTTGGATATCGTCCTATGCACCAAAAAATGCGCCAAGTTCATCATCTTAACGTTCTAAGGCACCTTGTTCACAATGTAATGTATGACCTTGATCCGGATGGCCTAGAAGCCAGAGCTCTAGGAAAGAATACACGTGTTAAGGGCCATTTCACGACTAAAGGGCCCAATTTTGTTCATTCTCTTGATGGACATGCAAAGCTAATGGGATATCAGAGAGACACTTTCCCTCTTGCGATATACGGGTGCATTGATACTGCTAGCCGTAAGTTACTATGGTTAAAGATATGGACAAACCACTCAGATCCAAAGTTGATTGGCAGATGGTACTTTGACCATATTTATGAAACAAAAACTATACCATCCAAGATTCGTATTGATAAAGGAACCGAAACTGGAAAGATAGCAACATTGCAGGCTTTTTTGCGGAGACACCAAGAAGATGGCATAGTCCCCCTGGATTCTGTTATTTATGGACCATCTACTTCTAATCAGGTATTCTGGTATTATAACAGTGTATTCGAAACATCTGTGCTCACCAATACTAGTGGTATATTGTACTAAATTGATATATTATTTTGTAACCAGCACTAAGGATTATGCAGTTTTATCACTGTAAAAAGTGTTAACTTTGCTTAGTTTTCTACTATTTTAATATTTTTATAATACATTTTCCCAGACTTTTCATTATATTTGTAGATTGAGCGGTGGTGGCATGAATTACATGAACGCCTTGAAAAATTTTACAAAGAACACCTCAAATACTTGCTTGATCAATGTTTCTATAATCCTTATGATCAATTGGACAGGTATTGTACTCAGATATATTTCTGACTACCAATTATTTATAATATGTAAATTTAATTATGGATCAGATTTAAGATTGTGCTTACTGTATATACAGGTCACTCCTTGCGTATCTGTTCATTCCTCTGCTTCAAAGAGAATTCGATGTATTTAAGGATACTGTGTGGAACACAAATCGGATTAGACATCAGAAAGGCACATATTTACCTGATGGTGTGCCAAATCATGTGTATGAATTTCCTGAGGAGTATGGATTAGAAGAATGTGGTATGTTGTTAGATTGGTAAATACTGGTATTGCATGTAAGGAGCAAAGATGAATTTACTGGGGTTACAGGAGGTGATTAACCCCTCGTAGCATTGGTGAAGAGGGGTGTGCAATTTTCCTTATTAAATCTATTGTTTATTTGGAAAGGCAAAATCAAAAATAATCTACAGAGTACTGACAGAATGAGATAGTGGCATGATCTTGAAATTGCCAAATAAGACTACAGGCTAGCACCTTATTGCCATAGCTCCCTCTAGTGATTACATACTGTACTTGGTCAACAGTTGCACCCTTGAACCATGACCAAAGCTCGATGAGAACCCTCAAAAAGAATAATTTAAGATTTCAAGAACAATAGAAATAATAATAATTTAGGTTGGAAAGTTACTGATGAACAGCTCAGAGAGGCTGCCATACAGTGTGGTATTCTTGATTAAGTGGATTATTTGGATGAAGATTGTAGACGACGATGTGAACAACTAATTCCTGAACCAGATCAAGTCAAACCAAAAGACTGTAAAGATGCATTCCTCTTCTTAAAGGACAAGTATCAAGAACAACATTACAACATGTATTTATAATAACATTTATGTAAAGTTACAGATTAATTGGCTAAACTTCTCTGGGATGATAAATCAATTTAAGTGTTACAACTCATGTTATCACTAAAATGTTTCAGTTACTATATCAGGTTTATTTTATACTTTTACTAAATAGGTAGATTGTAGCTGACAGTATCTCCAAAAACAGTTAAAATTTTAAATTTGTTTATTTTGTTTAGTCAAAATGCTTACTGTTTTCTGAGTCAGTTACAATAGTTTTGTGTTTCACAAAAAATACTAAATGGTTCCTTCAATTTGTAGCATATTTTGTTGTGATTATGTTAGCATAGAATAGACACTAATTTTAAACAACATTTGACAATTATTAGAAAGGTAACTGTTTCTGATGTGATGGTCATGATTTGGACATTGTTAGATATATCTTAAGGAAAATTTATCATTCAGAGAAAAAGCCATGAGTTGCATTGTAAACTGTAGTCACTCAGTCTTTTACAAACAGAACAAATAGTTCATAACCAATTTCAACAAAACTCAAAATAGCATGCATATACAGTGTGTATCAAAATAATTCGAATCCGAATTTGACAGACTGCTGTTTATAAAATACTAAAGTAAACCATATAATTTTTATATGGCAATTAAGAATAGCCTATTAGGTTTCCGATTATGTCGTTCTTATATCAATAAGATCAAAAATGAGCAAGAAATCGTGTGTTAAAACTGGTTGCTCGAAATCAAATTTTTCCGCCGATGGGAATTCGAAGTGAGACGTACAAACAAAAGATAATGCAAATTTAATTAATAAATTCGTGTTCATTTAATTAAAGAGATTTAAGCTCCTATGAATTTGCATTAAATTTGCATTTAAGTTTTCAGTGATGATTAGCATTTCAAAGCCTTGTGGGACTAACTTTGAAAGAAAAAATGTCCAATTCCCATCGGCGGAAAATTGTGATTTTTATGGACTTTTTTTGTCAAAGCAATACTCCTTCATTTACCAACTAAATGACGCGTACAGCATGTCATTTGAAAGGTAAATAAATGAACTTAACAATGGTGTAAAAACCAACCGAATTTGTCAAATATATTCTGCGTTATTACACGCCAAATTTGGATTCGAATTATTTTGATACACACTGTATAGCAGAGATAAAACTTTGCAACTTTGAAACTATAAAACATGAACTAAAATAAGGTTATGTTCTCAGACAACAGTCTTTATAAAGTAGGCAAAGCAAGAGCTTTGCAATATTTGTTGCAGGTGTGACTGTTTTTGAATTTTTCAATTCCCTGTAATGACATATTACCAGCACAGTACATGTACTGGTTGTCTTCTGATAACAACTTGCATGATGCTATTTCTGGATCACACAACATCATACCTGCCCCTTGAATGTCTAGTAACATTAATTCGCCATTACTTAGGTGGAACGAGAAATGAACCAGGCACTCAGCTTTCAATGACAAATCGATGTCATCCACTCTTGCACAAATTGTCCCATCATTATTAACATACTTTCAAAATTTGCCTTCGATGAACTCCGCAATGGTGACATATTCTGATGAACTCTCAATCCTACCCATATAAACTTTGTTATAAGAAAATGTTGCGCCAAATTCACTTAGGCATTTGGTGGCAATGGAAGACTGAAGCTGCTCAGCAAAATTGCCAGCTAACATATGGGTCTGGACAATTTTCTTTGAGTGATCTTCAGCCGATTGCCCTGTTTCCTGTAAGCATGCCAAGGTTGTAGGTAAATATTTCTTGACCACCCACTCTTGGCCTTTGAAATCATCAGTAGAACTTGTTGCTCTATAAGCCCTTCTAAACCCTCCCTCTCCAAAAGGCTCTTTGGAAACTACAAACTCTGCTTTCACTGGTGGCACAGACCAAGTCATAAAATCTTTATTTTGTACATCAAGAATTCCATCCGTTTCAAACGATTACCTGAAATTGAACATTCAGATTTTGTGTGTTTTTTTTACACACATTAGACCACCATGATTACCAAGGGGAATTAACGGCATTGTTTCCGCATGCGTCTACCATGATACCATCCTCCAAGTTCCAGCAATACAGATCTTTTTCAACACCTATCTGACTAACTAACACTACTGGAAAGTCTTTTTCCAGGCTGTCAGGGGCGCAGGAATCGGGGGGGGGGAGCACGGGGGGCACGTGCCCACCAAATTTTTTCAAAGAACTAAAAGTGCCCTTTTTAAATTTTGTGATGAAAAGTGCCCTCAGTTTTTGTGATGAAAAATGTCCTTTTTGCACAAGCTAAGGGACCATTCATTATTTATGACTGGGTCATGAGGTAATTTTTGACCGAAAAAGGGGGGGGGGGGTGCACCTAAAAATATTGGTTCAGAAGGGGGTCCAGTTATTTATTATAGTGGTATTATATTGGAGAAAAATTTGACATGTAACAATTATTGCTATCACAGGGAGCGAGCAAGGCAGCAAATTTAATTCATGTAACTGGCATAATTCTCAATTTTAATCAACAGATAGACCCAAAATGCAATGCACAAATACCCAAAATGCAATGCGCGCGGCTAATATGAAAAATAATCGAACATGTACCTTTATAATTTTCTGCCATGACCTTGTTATAAATTTTTTGTCATATTTCAGCTTCCCATTCTCTCGTGCCCGCGAAAACAGCCTGCTACGCACGCTAGTCATATTTCAATTATGTACATTTAGGTAAAAAATATAATTAACAAGTAAGCAATGTAGCAACATTACGTCCAGGGAAAGTTTGGCATACACTATATACACTTGTTTATACTAGGTATTTTATACATGGTTTTATTTAAAATGTCCGGAGTCAAATGTCCAAGTCACTAACTGTTTAGCGGTCTTTGTAGTTCATTGACGTAGTACCCTAACCATACTCCTAATCCAGGGCCGTAGCAACAGGGGGCGCTGCAGCCCCCCCCCCTCCCCCCAAAAAAATTGCTAATAATCATTCTTTTTCCAAAATCATGCAGACCTTTATCATTTAAATAATATACCTTTAGAATATTGACAATTGAATAATTTTAAGCAGCTAAATTATATCCCCATGACAAACTGCAAAGAATGAAGATATTTCTCATACTTTACTGCAACTTATCCAATATATAGTTAATTAAATACGCCTCCGCCCATTTATAAATTGTAAATTTCGACATACTAAAATGCTGTTTTCTTACCATAAGAATTCTGTCAAATCTTCCCCCGAAAGTCCAGGAAATGGCATTTCAGGGACTCTAAATTTTAAAATTTCCTCGGGCCTTTGGCCCTCGCTTTCAGCTCCCCAATCAAAAAGAGCTTCCTACGGCACTGTAACCCTAACCCTACTCCTAACCCTATACTCCTAACCGATTTTACTCGTCAACGGGGAAGCTCTGCTCGACATGTCCCGATTGTGCTCGGCAACTTTTTGCGTTTGGAGCAACTTTTTTCGGCTCGAGCAACTTGAGGCAACTTTTTCCTTTTTGAACAACTTTTTACTACATTCTTAGTAGTGAAAAATGGTATGATCCCCAGCTTTAGCCTCTTCGGCGCTCTGCATGCGCTTAATGGTTAACCAAAAAATCTGACAATGTCTCTAGTTAACCCACTGCACCCCACTAATTATTTTTGTACTTGTTTAACGCCAGATGATTTTACTCGATAACAGGAAACTCTGCAGCTTAATGGGTTAAATAGGCATGCATATTAATTGTTGAAAGCACAAATAAATGAAAGATCTGATGCTTTTTACAACAAGTTTAAAGAGCTCATTTCTATACAGTACTGTACATTTATTATAGTGTCGGTGGTGGTTGGGGGGGGGGGTACTATTTTTTAGAATTCATGTGAAGGGGGGTCATTGAATTTTTTTGTGATGCAGGGGGTGGAGCAGGACATTTTGTTTAGTTGTTCATTGAATTTTGCCAGCTCACGCCCGGTCATAAATAATGAATGGTCCCTAATGTCGCTGTAAATATTAAGTAATATATGAACAACGAGAGCAAGTGTTTCACCGGGATATCCAAACACGAGAAAACAATGTATTAGGAATTTTATTCAAGTAATTTTGCATGCGTAATTAAGATATTTGATGAAAACACTAGTGACTTTCATCAAGTATCCAAATGGCATCTTGTGATCGAATAGGTGATTATCATTGGCTGAATTACTCATGAATTATTAATGAATTTGAAAATTCAAATTCATTAATAATTCATGAGTAATTCAGCCAATGATAATCACCTATTTGATCACAAGATGCCATTTGGATACTTGATGAAAGTCACTAGGGTTTTCATCAAATATCTTAATTACGCATGCAAAATTACTTGAATAGAATTCCTAATTAAGTTATGCTTGGTTAAGAATTCGATTCAAATCAGCAAACGAAAACATTCTGTTACGTCTCGATTCATTTGAGAAGCCATATAAACAACTCGAGCTCGTGTCTCACCGGGATATCCAAACACTCGAAAACAATGTATGAAAACACTCGCGCTTCACGCTCGTGTTCTCATACATTGTTTTCTCGTGTTTGGATATCCCGGTGAAACATTCGCTCTCGTTGTTCATATATTACATCAATGGTGCCCTTTTTGTTTGGAAAGTTTTTAAAAAAAATTTGGTCAAAAACGTGCAATTTCGGTATGGTACGACGGGAAAATTTTTCTTCTCCCGCCACGTCGCCAACATTTCCGGGGAAAATGTTTTAGGTGCCCTTTTCAATACCCTAAAGTGCCCCTAGAAGCCGGTGCCCCCCCCCCAATCTTTTGATGTTTCCTACGCCCCTGCGTCTAGCGATTTTAACCTCTTTGACACTAAAGATCTTTGCCCAAATTTTCAGTGTTTCAGCTAAAACAATTGGTTGATAAACCAACTCGTGGTGCCAAGATTTTGGATCTTATACTTACAAACATGCATAAATTTTACGATGCACAACCAGCCATAGTTTTTCCCTTTTCGGATTATCAGACCATAATGTGATAATGGTTGAGCCCAAAGTTAAAACAGCATCAGAGATCCCAAGTAGAAAGACAGTAATAAAAAGAGACATTCGTCAATCACGCAAAAAAGAACCTGGACAATATCTGAGTAATTTTGACTGGCAACTGATCGATTCCTCCGAACCGTTCGATAAAAATTGTGATATCCTATGCTCCGCAATAAAGACGGGTTATGACTCTTATGCCTAAGAAACACGTTAAATTCCACCGTAACGACAACCCATGGATAACCGAAAAATTGAAACAGCTGATCAAGTTTCGACAACGTGCGTTTTCATCTAATAACACTACTCTTTTCAAATTCTACCGAAATAAAGTGAACAGAATGAGAAAATCTTGCCGGGCAGATTACTTCGCTAATCAATCCCTACCAGAGGACCTTGTGCTGCATTTTTCGGAGTCGTTCCGGGTTAGGTCTTAAAATGTATATATACTCACTTGGATTACAAACCCTAACATTCTAATATTAATTCTACCAAGTGAAGTGGAAGAATCTAAATCTTTGAAGCCCACCTTATCACAACCCGCACACCCGATTACCTATATATACATGAACTTACGGTTACAGCTCAACAGCTGGCCT